AAGGTGAGTATTCCTGGGCATATATCCAGACAAAACTCGAATCCAAAAAGATACGTGCACCTCTATGTTCAGAGCAGCATGATTCACAATAGCCGAGACATGGAAACAACCTAAATGTCCATCAACAGAGGAATGGATAAAGAGATGTGGCACATATATACAATGGAATATTACTCAGCCATAAAAAGGAAGGAAATAATGCCATCTGCAGCAACATGGATGCAACTAGAGATGATCATACTAAGTGAAGTAAGTCAGAAAGAGAAAGACAAATACCATATGATATCACTTATATGCAGAACCTAAACTATGACACAAATGAACCTATCTATGAAATAGAAAAAGACTCACAGACATAGAGGATGGAGTTGTGGTTGCCAAGGGGGAGGGGGAGGGGGTTGGGGGAGGGATGGAGTGGGAGGTTGGGATTAGCAGATGTAAGCTTTTATATATAGAACGGATAAACAACAAGGTCCTACTGTATAGCACAGGGAACTATATTCAGTATCCTGTGATAAACCGTAATGGAAAAGAATATGAAAAAAGAATGGGGGCTTCCCTGGTGGCGCAGTGGTTGAGAATCTGCCTGCCAATGCAGGGGACATCGGTTCGAGCCCTGGTCTGGGAAGATCCCACATGCCGCGAAGCAACTAGGCCCATGAGCCACAACTACTGAGCCTGCACGTCTGGAGCCTGTGCTCCGCAACAAGAGAGGCCGCGATAGTGAGAGGCCCACGCACCGTGATGAAGAGTGGCCCCCGCTTGCCACAACTAGAGAAAGCCCTCGCACAGAAACGAAGACCCAACACAGCCAAAAATAAATAAATAAAGATTTTTTTAAAAAAAGAATGTATATATATGTATAACTGAATCACTTTGCTGTACAGCAGAAATTAATACATTGTAAATCAACTATACCTCAATAAAAATCAATTGATCAATCAATCAAAATAGTCCCAAAGACAAAAAAAAAGAAAGGTGAGTGTTGGCTGTGATCCAACATCATGAACCGTCATGGGGTGAGGAAGTCCATGTCCATCTATGAACGAATCAGAAGTCGGTGAAAGGGGGAATGCTCTGCAGTGGCTGGAGTGCTGGACAGGAAATATGAAGTCCTGGGTCCTAGTCCCAGCTCTGCCAGTGCCTCACTGTGCGACCATGGGCAAGTCCCTTTACATCTCTTACCTGCAGTTCTTGCATCTGCCACATGGGGGCATTCATCCCTCTCCCATCCACTTCACAGAGCTATGAATCAAGTTCAAGTATGATAAAGGTCCAACAAGCCACATAAATTGTGGCCCATTCTGGAGGAACATAAGGGTTTCCTTGATCACCTAGGGAGTTTGGGGAAGAGCTATGCCAAGTTATGAGACCAATAAAATTCAGGTGACTAGGCAGACCTTTAAGGGGTTCAGATTACAGCTGTGCCATCCCTACGAAGAAAAGTGATGCTTTGCCCTGTGACCCCCTGGGGGGATCATCATCATCATAAAAAATAGTGTCTTCTGTTTCAACAGCACTTTTCAAAGTACTTTCCCCTCCACCATTTTAGTTTCGATAGCTTGTACTTTCCCCTCCACCATTTTAGTTTCGATAGCTTGTACTTTCCCCTCTACCATTTTAGTTTCGATAGCTTGTATCCATTAAAGGAAAAGAATGGACTAAGAGTTTTTCTAGGTCTGAAAGTTTTGGTTTCTCACCATGAAGTAGGGTTAGTCTCACCCATTAAACAGCAGTGGAAGACTGAGGCCCAGCTAGACAGGCAGTTTGCCAAGGCTGTGGGGCTGTAAGTGAAGGGCTGCCTCTGGGATGGAGCTGGGAAAATACAGAGTTCTTGGGTAGAGGCCCAGCTTTGCCTGTGCCAGGTCTGAACTGAAGGAGGGGGTTCACTCACACTCAAGTTCCATACTACAAATTGAATACAAATGAAGCATTGGAATCATGTCCCATTTTGAAGAGCCTATTCCCCAGCCCTCCAGTTATTCCACAATGACAGTTATTCTGCTGGCTGTGAAGCAGAAGAATTTTTCCTTGCTACCTTCATTAAGTAGGCAGGGATGTAGGGAATACCATGCAGGGTAAGCTCCTCTCAACATCCAGCAAATAAATACTAAAAAACAGGAAAAAGGACCCATAAGCCTGGACCTTTCTTGGGAGGCCTTTGAGCTTCAACAGATAGATCCCCAAGTTGGGATACTTCAGCTGGGTCCCTCGGTTCACGTAATGTTGCCATCCTGAACACACAGTTTGAAACCATGACTCCAGACATCCTGAACCACAGCAGGTTAGAATTCTCCTGGCCCTGAAATTTATTCCTGGGCTCTAGAATCTAATGTGAATGTAACCATCAGGTTCTAAAAGAGGTGGCATCTGTGCGTTCGCTTGTTACTGAGGCTAACTCTGCGCTGGGTGCTAGAGCTCCAACATGGCACATCTCACAGTGCGTGTGGTCTAGGGGTTCACCTGACAGTCAGTCACACAAATAGATGTCAGACACCAGCTGCAATGTGAGCTGCACGGGGCTCTGAGAGTCATGTGCTTGAATGCTGAAAGAGTGATGACTAGGATGAGGTCTGAAGGACGAACAGGGTTGATGGATTGATCACGGGAGAGAGCAGCATGTGATAAGGGTGAGAGCCTTCTGAGTATAAAGGATCAAACAAATTCCAGAGTGACCAGAGTTACAGAATCCACGTTGTGGGACAGCACTGGAGAGCGGGCCAAGGAGTTGAATCTTATTCCAAGTGTAAGAGGAGGGCCTTGATGGGTTTTAAGCAACGAAGAAACAAGATGTAATCAACGTTTTCCAAAAGATCATGCAGGCTCCCTTGTCGAGAACTGATTCGGCAGAGGAGTGGGAGGATGGGGGGTAGGGGGGTTGAATGGAGGCAAGAAGTCCAGGTCAGATGCCACTGTGATCATCCAGATTTGGAAAAGCAGCAGCATCCTCACACGGGCCTGGACACTTGTATCTGCTGTCTCTTAAGGTGAACAGAGCACTGGACAAGTTATCAGAAGACGGGTGCGATCTCGAGTATAACTGTGTATTAGTCCTGGGGCACTGGGAAAATGATTTTGCCTCTATGTACCACATCTTGCTTGACTTACCAATGGAAGCCATGCATCCTGATCTACTTATGTACGATTTCCAATCACACAGTCTCAGAGATGGGAGGAGTGTTAAGAGGAAGCAGTTGGTCTCTGGTCCCACGTGATGCTTGGCCTTTCCTCTGTCTGGCTTATTATTGTGTCCCCAGCGCTTAGTACCCTGGAGGACCAAGGGTAGGCACCAAGTACAACATCGCTATAAATAGTTTATCACTTGAACATCTTCAGAAATAGGGACACTCACTCTCATCCCCAGGATAGACACTGTTGTACTACCCTGCCCATCAAAAGTATCTTCCTCCTATTTAGATAGCATCCGTTTCCTGCAACTTCTGCCAAATGCGCCTCACTCAGGTCACAAGGCACAAGCCTCACATCAGACCTTCAGTGAACATATCTCTCCAAGCCTTTTCTTCCTGTAGAGTCTCCCCTCTTCCTGAAGCTGTTCTTCAAAGGACATCGTTTTGTTGCACTCTCCTGTTCTCATTCCTTTGAACAAGTCTCCTCTTATTTCCCCCTTCCTGTGAAGCATCTAGGAACAGTGTTTTCTATATAGCAAGCAATAACAAGTATTCGTTGGATTTCTTGGGGTGAGCATTGTCTGCCTGAAGTGAAAAGGAGTCTCTCAGAAACCGAAACAAAGTAGGACAGACAGGAACATGGGAATAACACACAGAGGGCTGACAAAGTCTCAACAATCAAGCAAGCCGGCAGGCCTGGGTGTTGCTCCCAAGTCAGTAGGATCTGGGACTCTTGAGTTTCCTTATCCATAAAACTCACGGTTTGGATTGGTGATTGCTCTCGATGTCAAGCATGAGGTTCTAGTTAGGCCTTGTCACCTCTGAGCTTGAGGCTGTCGGAGCACATGTTATAAAGGGCTTAAGGGCACAGCAGCTCCAGGATGACACTTCCTTAATAAACTGAGCAGCATGGAAGGAGTAATGGAATGCAAATAACTTTATCACTATCTCATTGAGTATGGCCCGATGCCATGTCTAGCCACCACATAAAATCACCCCATATAATATCTACATCATTGGTAACATCTTTGGGAAGCCCCGGACTTGAAGTCTCCTAGCCAAATCCAAACAATCACAGTGGAACTCTTGGCTGGTCACGTTTCTCTTCACAGTTTTGGGCATGAGAGAGAACAGGACCCAAAAATCAAGGATAAGTTTCTTGTCTCACATATGATTGTCATATTTGCCATTTTGATCCAGATCAGGCTATCCTTTGTCTTTTATTTCAGCCAAATTCTCTTTCTCTTTGATAAGGAGGAGAACCGTGCCTGCACTCAACAGTGACATTCCCCAAGGTGGCTGGATGGAGTGCTAGTGTCGTCTTTATTTCCAAAATGTTCTCCCTTCCCTTCCTTCTAATCCATCATTTTGGCGGCCTTTGCCAGCCAGGAGGGCAGTGGCGAGAAGGCAGTCTGGAAACATTTCTGGACATAATCAAATGTGTGCAACATCTGTGTAAATGCATTGCGTTTATATATGTATGCACATGCATTTGGCATATATGCAACTGCTTGTAACAGGACGTTTATACACGTTTGTGATTTTTGCGGGCAAATGCTGACATATCTGTGTCTTTGCTGGCATGTGTCTCGTGTCTCGATGTGTATGTATGTGTGAGAGTGAGCGTGAAGATGTACCTGCAGGGCAGTCTCACCCATGAAGGATGGCAACCCCACAGGTCCTTATCCACAGTAAGGAAGGAAAATGCACAGGAGACTCTGACGTTTGGATTCTCACACCCTGCTGACAGAAGAGAAGGGTGCAAGAGGGCTTGACAGCTCTGCTGATGGGCTGGGGCTGGCCCTCGGCCCCTCCCCACAGTCTTCTGTAATTGATTCTGTGCTTCTGACACCTCTTCCCTTTGGGCTGCAGGTCCCTGTCCGGCCGCATCGTTGGCGGCGTCTGGTGGTTCTTCACCTTGATCATCATCTCCTCCTACACAGCCAACCTGGCCGCCTTCCTGACCGTGGAGAGGATGGTATCTCCCATTGAGAGTGCCGAGGACCTAGCGAAGCAGACAGAAATCGCTTACGGGACCCTAGAAGCGGGATCCACGAAGGAGTTCTTCAGGGTAGGGACATCCCTTGTCCCAGGGCACTTCCACAAAAGGGAACCACTACTGTCAGTAAAATGTCCTTCTCACTAGCATGAGATTATAGGCGGCTGCTTAACTGAGCGTAAGTCAAGGAAACTGAGACATTTCTCAGCTTTCGTGGAAACTTCAAAGCTCTTGCATTGAATTAGACCCTTTATGTATACCAGTCTGTGCCAAGTTCTCCGAGGGTTGCAAAGGATATGACATATAATTCCCTTCCTGCTCCTATAAGCACCTTCAGCCTTATTAGTAATTCATTAGGAACAGCGAGGAACAAGGTCCCAACCTGATGCCCTTTGTGTCCCCTCCTTTGAGACTTTGATGAATAAGGAGATGTTATATGGGAAATAATGACTGGAATAGGCGGTCTATTAAATAGTGCCAGGAGATACAGAAAATGTGAAGTGGGAGTGGAGGTGGTGGAGAAGTCTTGTGGCTAGAGGCAAAATGAGGAAAATAATGTCAACCTCCAAGAGTCATTATGAGATGAAAAGAGATGGACATCTAAAATACAAGGAAACAAAGAACAATGAATGGGGGCTCCATTTCCCATTAGGGCTTCGGAGGGTGTAGGCAATTGAGAGCCATCCTGAAGGAGGGGTAGGGAGGGATTATGGCCACAAAGGATAGACCTGTAAACATCTCTAGACATCATGAAACCAAGTTAGATCAGGGTACGCTAATTACATTCTAGGCAAAAGGAACAACTTGAACAAATGCTCCAAAGCAAGAAAACCTGTAGTTCCCTGGACTTTGGAAATGTTTAGCACAGGGAGTTACCATATATTAATCAAATAAATATAATAAACAATTGCTACCACTTCCTCAGCACATACTATGAACTGGGCCCTGTGCTAAGAAGCACACAGGATTCATGACTTATTTCATCCTCTCATCAGAGGCGAGTTGGGGATTTGTTATCCCCATTTTACAAAGGAAGCTCAGAGAGGTAAAAATAACTGCCCAAGGTCACACAGCCAATAAGGAGGAGGAGGAGAATACAGAGCTAGCCTCTGCATCGCCTCGGGCAAGAGGGTGGGGATCCTATGCGGACCCACTGGGTTCTCACTGCAACTTCATGGAGCAAACCCCAGACTCTGAGTGAACCCACAGGGTGCTGTGCACAGCCTCTTGATCGTGGGCTCTGCGTTCTGTATGACAGGCAGAAGAGGGACCAAAGTCCTAACCATGGCTGATGGAGGTTCCAAGACTAAAATCATTCATTTTCAACATATTGGAGCAAGAAGGTAACTTAGGGGTCACCTGGTCAGAGTCGTCATTTTAGAAAGAAACATGACTTGCTTAGGCTAACCCAACCAATTAGTAGAAAAAGCACTTGTAATCTTGTTACAATTCTCTGACATCTTTAGCCTGTAACCAGAGTATGAAGGAGATGCCTGATATTTGTCCATAAAGCCAGTTCTATGCCCCAGGCCCTGCTGATGCAGTCGGGGAACCACCCAATCTGTCCACTCATTATATACCCATGATCTCCACCCCGGTACATTCGCATGTTACAGCCCCCGAAGCCCCTTCCCATCCATGGTCTCCTTTATGTTTCACCTGTGACCTAAGGTAGAACAGGGGTTGTGTGTCCACGTTGCAGGCAAGAATTTGAGATGCAGGGAATTCATGATGCAAGTGTCCAGGAGGGGTACAAAATCTGAATTTCCTCATTCCAACCCAAATATTCTTGCATTGAACCACACTGTCCTAATGGATGGTGTCATTAATAATTTTTTTTTAAAGATCGCTCAAGTTACTAGATAGGCCCATAGACAAATCCAGTCTAACGCTCCAGTCTTGTATTTGCAGAAAGTGAGGTCCAAAGAAGAAAATGTGCATGTCCTAGCTAATTCAGAGGCACAGCTAAGACTTAAGACTTCCACGTTCTGTTAATAACTATGGAAATACACATATTACTATCTCTTGTCCAGAGCACTGTGCTAGGCATTTAGAACCAAGGCAGTGCATATTCGACAAGCTCTGTGCCCTAGCCAGGCTTACTTCATTAGACTAGGCAAATAGGTTGTATCAACAGTTCACTCTGATTGGTCAAGAGTGCTTGCCTGGAGTTCTATGTTAAGAGGGATTCTGAGGTCACATCGGGCTCAGTATGAAAGAATTCTTTAATTGCTATCAATGTCTGCCATGTATATAGGAAGGGAAACTGGTACCAAGCCAAACATGTATTGGGCATTTCTACCCTAAAGTCCAACCAGAAGAAAAGTCATAATTAGTAGTAGTAATTGCACCACTTACGGAACACCTACTACGTGCCAGGCATTGGGGTATGCCCTTTACCACTTTAAAGTGTTCTATCCTCATATAATCTCCATGGCGACACTGTGTAGTGAGTACATATTATCGCCATTGTCAGGAGAGAAATACTGAGGCTCAGAAAGGTTATGTTACTTGCCCAGAGTCCTGCAGCCAGTAAAACATAAAGCATAAAACGAGGGAGACAGCTAGTTGTAGTGTAAAGGTACTAGGGGTGCAATCAGGAGATGAGGTTTTACTCCTCCTGGCTCTGCCACTAACAAGCTACCTGACTTGGACAGTTCATTGCCACATTGTAGGCCTCGGTTTCTTCACCTGTAAAAAAAAAAAAAAAAAAAAAGAGTGCTGCTGACCCGATGTGTCCTGTGAGCCCTTCCATCTCTGTGACGCTGACCTTGAGAATTATCCCACCAGGACCTTGGTGGGTGGGGAGACAAGGTCACCTACCACCCCCATAAGGCAGAAGGAGGGAACAGGGCAACAAGAATTCTACTTCTGAACAGTCTGGCTTTTCATCCCCGTGACAGCCCAGAGCTTCTCGGCAGCCCCAACCCAGAGTCACTTCATCCTCCACCGACAGTTTAATTAAGATGTGTGAAGGGCTGTGGGAGCTGCGGATGAGGAGAGAGATCCAAGAACAAATACCCCAAGCCTGTTTCCAATCCTCCCTGCCACTCGCATTGCCTTCGCATTCCTGGAGATGACATTTTCCTGATAGTTCTACTCTAAGCGACTGAGTGCAGCCTCGGCATTGGGGACACTGGGGTGAGGCTGAGAGGACATATTAATTTTCTGCATACTGTGGCCCAGAGCGCTCTGCAGCTCTGCCTGTCAGCAGCCCAGTGTTCCCCCGCTGTGAGCATCCTGCCAGGTCACATTGCATCTTGCAATTGCCCTGCTGCGTGTCTTGCTGGTTTTGTGCCTGGAAGATGATCCGCAAATCTGGTCACAGCTGAATTTATCTATTTTCCTGTTTCCTGTGAGAGAATATTCGATACGTTGTAGATGCTACGATTGCTCTCGGATATTTCTTTTCCTAACTTTGATAATCCTCCCTCCCTTTTCTCCTTTCTTTTTTTTTTTTTCCTCACCTGGACACTGTTGCTTGAATGATAAATATTCACGTAAAGAACCAAATATTTCAAGCTAGCAAGGAACGTAAAGGTTACCATGTCCAAACTCCTTATAGAACAAATGAGGAAAGTTAGCAATAGAACCAAGACTACCACCCAGGGTTCCTCACCCCCAGGCCAGTGTCCTTCCCAGATTGTAAACCATCTAATGAAACAAATCATCTCATTTATCTAATTATACACTATCTTACAATTCACTCTAGGGAACGCTTCCCTGACATTCTCAGTAATGATCTCCATTCATTTTTCCTTGAGACCTAGAGTTTTTCTGGGTCCAAATATCTTTATTGGCTCAAGCAACAAGCTAACTGCATATCAATATTTTGCCAATGCTTGTTGATATCAAGAAAATAAACCTGATATTGTGTGCAAAGAATAATGACATATTGCATGTATAATGATAATTTTATACTAAAGAAATCTGTAATCTATATATCAACCACTAGATTACATAGGTGGCCTAACTCTAGTAGTAACTGTCTTTAAAAAAATAGTCCCTTACATGAGTTTAACACTTGTCCATTTACAAAGCATTTTCAAATGCCAGATACCAGTAGCCCTAAAATACATCTACCTGTTGGGGAAAGGATGCTTTTTAGGAAGAGCATCACATGTGAGAGGGTGGATTTGTGGTCCTAGACCATGGGCCCTAACTAAGAACCTACTAGATAGATGCAAGGTTAGACTCTGTGCAGGACCCAAAGAAGGGAAGACGTCCCCTACCCTCAGGTAGTGTTCACAAACTTGAGACCTAAGCCCAAGTGTGAATGGCTCTCAATCCTAAAAGTCTAGCTTGGACATGCAGTGAGTGCCTGGACAATGTGTCCTAGAGGAACATCAATCCTCACAATATTCCTTCTAAAGTGAGGGCCACACAGACCATACAGATGAATCGCCTAGGGAACTTCTGAAAAAGATTTATTCTAGGCTCCATCCAACACCTGCTGAATCAGAATCTCTAGGTTTAGAGCCAGGGGGTCTGCATATTTGCAGTCTCCATACATGATTCTGGTGCCCACTAGAGTTTGAGAACTACTGTCCTCGGAACCGAGATAGTCTCAGAATACACAGGATTTGTTCTGATCTGTGAGATGCTGAGTAGGATATGGCTGGAGAGAACCAACATATCCAGGGGAGTGAACAAATGAGGCAAAGTCACAAAGGAAGGAAGGCCCAAAATGAGTTCAGGAGGAAATGAGGAAAGCAGCTTGGCTGGAGGTAGAGGTTTTTGAAATGTAAGCAGAAGACAGTATTAAGTCCCAAGTTATTAACTTTATCAGACAACAATTTGCATTCTGAGGGCCAGTCTTGCAATATGGGATGACTGGAACTTGGCACCTATGATCTATTAGAAATTCTTTAGTGTTGTCCTTTAACGATGAAATCAGACTCCACCTATATCGTCAGCTCTCCACTTCTTCAGGGCTTTGTGAATGTGACCTTATTGAACAACAAATAGGTCCTATGATGTCTTGAAAAGTCAGAGCCCCAGTTTCTTAACTCTCCCCATATTTAAGAGGGCTACAACTATTCAGCAGTAATTAAAAGATTCTGACTTCTCCTATTCATTCTGTATTTGCAAGATATTTGTACTTTGAAGCCTACTGGTACTAATTAGAGCCTCTTATTTTGCAATCACCGATAATTTGTTTCTTCCTGAGCTAATCTCGCTCATGAATGTGTGATCAAGCCACACTTGGCTCTTCATTATTGTGTGTGGGCCGACCTCCATGCCACCATGCACAGCCAGCGCTTAATTCCAGCTTCGTTCCTGTCCCCTGCCAGAGGTCTAAAATCGCCGTGTTTGAGAAGATGTGGACGTACATGAAGTCAGCAGAACCATCCGTGTTTGTGCGGACCACGGAGGAGGGGATGATCCGAGTAAGGAAATCCAAAGGCAAATACGCCTACCTTCTAGAGTCCACCATGAATGAGTATATTGAGCAGCGGAAACCCTGTGACACCATGAAAGTGGGAGGTAACTTGGATTCCAAAGGCTATGGCATTGCGACGCCCAAGGGGTCCGCCCTAAGGTAAGTAGCCAAGATCTGCTTCCTTGGTACTCCCTCTCCCCTCCCTACCTCAGAAAGGAAGCTGCTGTGCCTGCCACATGGCTCCAGGGCCACAGTGGGAGCTGTCAAGAGGTCTCTTCTTAGACACCTGTGGGCCTGGGAGATTCCAGCCACCCAAGATCTTCAGCCCTGAGGTTGGAACTTGACCCGGGGGCCTCAGCTTGCTCTGATTGTCGCTGCCCATGTGTCCCCTTCCCACGCCTCGCCTTACCCCTCCAAGTGGTAAACACTGATGAACCTTGTGTTTCTGTTGTGTGATCTGTAACACACCATCCTTTACCAGACACCTCCACATCCAACTAGGCCACGAACAGGGCTCTCGAGCAACCTGGATTCTTTGACAGAAGGTGGTTTGTAATGTTTGCCTCCAAAGAAGCAAGTACATGGTCCAAATGAAAAATCAAGTCATTTGAGTCCTGAGATTCTAGCTGTGGAAATCAAAACAGCACCAAGCGAGTGGTAGCACCCATTCTTTCCTAGATGCTGATATCTTTAGCAAGAAACAGGTATTTAAGTAAAAAAGCAAAGTGGACTTTATTTTCACATAAAGAAGCTCTGGTATACATTCCAAACAGCTAAGGCAGAGTCCTGTAAAACTAAAGTCAAAACACCTAGATTTAACTCTGGGGTTTACTACTGACTGTCTTACAAAAGGTGAGACATATCATCTCCCGACCTTCAGTATCCTCATCTATAAAGAGAGCATAACCATCTCATCCTTTCCTAGGTCCAAAGTGGTTTTAAGTTCAAATGGAATAATCTATATAGAAGGTAAATGAAAGCAATAGTGTAAAGTCACCTGTAAGACATTGTGTCAATTACAGAGTGATTAAATCACTTTAGGGAAGGGTAGCATTCAAGGAAAGGTGAGACTGTTTTAAAAGGTTGTAAAAAGATGGAGAGAGGCTCCTAACCCATTTTGACATGACATCCAGAGCCACCTCTGCCTCCACTTCATTCATTTATTCCAATAATATTGATCCCTACAACATTCTAGGCACTAGGCTAGGAGCTGGAGCTACAGTTTGGGGGTAAGACATACATAGTCCGGGTCCCACGGAACTACATTCTTGCAGGGAAGAAAGGCATTAAACAGATGGTTATTGTTTAATGGTTCATGACAATTATGATAGTCTATAAAAGGGGACCTAGAGGACACCTACTTCCAGCAATTTGGCAGAATAAAACCCCCACTATTAAACACCTAGATATGCTGGAGAAAGATACAACAAATACACTTTTAAATGCAAGTTAAGAAATCTCTAGGTCAAAAAGGGAAAAGGAAACCAAAACCATAGTAAATAGCATGAACTAATTATTCCGGGTCTGCCCTAAGCAAGGCAAAGTTATAAATTATGTGACAACATACATGAGCAAGAATCAGAAGTACAAGTAAAAACATAAAAGTAATCAAAAATACTTTTAAAAGAAAAAGACACTATCATAAAAGATAAGACGTATTTGGAAAAGTATCAATTAGGACTCACAGAAGTGAAAAAAAAATGTAGTCATTAATATAAAATCTCAATTTTAAAAGAGTTAAACAGCAAATCAGACAGAGTTGAAGAGAAAATTAGTGCACTGGAAAAAAATAGGAGAAGATTCCCTAGAATATCACACAGAGAGATAAAAAGATAGAAAATATACCAAAGAGGCTAAGAGACATGAGACAGAAAAAAATGCCAGGTGCGTCTTCTTTAAGTTCCATATGGAGACAAGAGAGGATGAAGCAGAGGTAATATATGAAGGGAATTTTCCAAAATTTATGGATAACATGAATACTCAGATTCAAAAATTATGAGTCCCAAGCAGGATAAACAGATGAAAGTCAGCAGCTGATTCAACTGAAACTGCAGAACAATAAAGACACAGAGAAGATCTCAAATACACCCAGAGATAACAAGGTCCAACTGGTGTGCAGGGTAGGTAGGATGTGGCTGAGAAGACTTTTCCAAGGATGCTTTTTTTCCCAAGCTGAAATATGACAGACTAACAGGAGTTAACTAAGTATAGTGAGGGGAGAGGAAGAGAAGAACAGTCCAGGCAGAGGGAACAGAACGTGCAGAGACTCTAAGGCAAGAAATCATGGTACAGTTGATAAACTAAAAGAAGCTAAGTACTCCTGGAGCACGGGTAATAAAGAGGAGAAAAAGTTAAGCTACGATTGGAGAATAATGAAATGCAGACAGATTTTGTAAAGGATTTTTGTCCTTATTTGAAGAGCAATGAAAATACATTGAAGAATTGTAAGCAACTGTCCAAATATCAGAAAATAACGATATCTGTAGGAGTGTAAAAATAATTGTATGTGACCTAATAAAGGGAAACCAAATGGCCCAGTATTTATTAATCATGCATTTTTGTCTGCAAGAACTTAAAAATCTCTTTGTACAAGTTTAGGCAAAGTTCAAAGGGGATTCAGAGGATAGTGCTTGGCAAGAAAAGAAACTTTTAGGTACTTATAGAACATCACCCTAGAAAGGCCCAAAGTAGAGAATGAGTTCTTATAGGTCCAGGAACACCAATGATGCTGCAGTATTACAATTAATGAAGGCTTTATGGGTCAGGGACATCATTTGATCTAAATATTTGGATGCAAAGTTGAAAACAAAAAAAAAAGGGTACAGAAGGTGACACGATTTGCCCACTCAATACATTACTTCTACCACCCTACCCTATCCATGGGTGCCTGGAACATGGTGACAAACTCAGTAATGTGAACGTAAATCTCCGGTCATCTGGGACTCAAATTACTTCCCACTACAATAAAAGCTACCATTGAGTGACTGCCTACCACATGCCACACGCTGTGCTATGTGCAGTGTTTCATATTATCCTCTTAATTTCCCTATGAAGTACCATTATCCCCATTTTACAGATGAGGAAACGGTGGCACAGAATTAAGTTACTTGACCAGGTGGACACAGCTAATAAAGGAGCCAGATTTCAAGCCCAGTCAGTCTGACTCCAGAGCCCGTGGATGTACTTACTCTCTGGGCTGGGCATTATGACTGACAACACTGTGAAAGGCAGGAGACCGAACTTATGCCAGGTTCCCAGCACCTATTTAACTGGGCAAACAATCACCGTCAACTCAAAAATTTTAAATGCAGAATTTTGGAGCCCAGGGCATCCACTCACCACTCTGAAGGCAAAAGGTGATAGTGAATGCTCACTTTAATGCCCTTCTTCTTTAATGCACCATTTCTTTGAGCAGTAACACTGCCTTTATGGGTTTTGCATGCCCCAAGATTCTTTCTGGCGTAAATATTGAAAATAGTTCAACTCTATAATAAATAAATACCTAATTCTATTGCTTACATCTCTGTGAGACATAACACGTCATTTACTCATTTTGAGAAAGAAAGAGAAAGGGAAAGAGACATGAAAAGGAACATCTTCCAGATAAGATCACAGATGGTTGATGTGCAAGTCAAGAATACCTAAATGGGGCTTCCCTGGTGGCACAGTGGTTGGGAGTCCACCTGCCGATGCAGGGGACACAGGTTCGTGCCCCGGTCCGGGAAGATCCCACTTGCCGCGGAGCAGCTGGGCCCGTGAGCCATGGCCTCTGAGCCTGTGCTCCGCAACGGGAGGGGCCACAACAGTGAGAGGCCCGCGTACCGCCAAAAAAAAAAAAAAAAAAAAAAAAAAGAATACCTAAATGGAGCCCACATGGCCCCAGCTCTCTCCCAGTGCTCCTTTCTCTCCATTGGCAACCTTTATGAGAGCCATGGGGCTCCCTGACTCAAAAACAGAAGAGCAACGCTCATCCTAAGAGAGCCTTGGGTTTCTGGCCTGGGAAAGTCCCTCTTCGCCTACTTCTCATCTCAGCAATAAAAGGAGTCATTCTAGCAACCAGCAGTGTAGCGGTCCCATGAAACATATCATTGCAAAATGGTTACAGAAAATATGAGTAACCACACATGCACGCCCACAGTCCAGCCCGGCTTCCTTCAGGTCTCTGTCTCACATGCCCCAGATGATGCTGACTCCCCAAGTCATGGTCAAACACCAAAGAGTCATGGCAGGCCAAATGCCACAGACACATGTGCCTGATGCAACAATCTTAGATTCACTGATCTGATCCCAGCAAACCATTCTGCATGACAGAGGTGGAAAATGAGGAGAAGAGTGAAGGGGTAGGACATGATACCTCTGTTCCCCAATGAAAAGGGGCTTAAGTGGGCTTAAAGAGGATATGGCAGAGGAAATCAATGTTGTCTTCAGATTATTTAGAATTGTAGAAAATACCTTTTCAAAGACTGTCTAGTCATTCACAAAGTTGCAGACTCTTTAGGAGTGTTTTACACTACAGACCTTGCAAACTTCTCTTCTGCCCTGTGAAAGGTGGAGCTTTGGCTGCCCTCACAAGGCAGATGTGCTCCAGACTTAGGGCCAGTGCCCACAGCCAGAAAGGACCTCCCTGGCAGTCCCCTGCACCACTCTCCATAAAGCCAGACCTGACCACACCTGTGGGGCATTCGCTCCCTTCCAGCCTGCCTGGAAAAAGGTCCAGGTTCCTCCAAGGCAGATCACCCAGCTCTGCCCCAGAAGGTCAGAGAGCCGATATCTAAGGCCCAAATGTTCCTCTAAAACTTGCCAAGTCTACTTGGCAGAGGCCAGGCTTGTCCCTACAGAGCATTAAAAGGCTGTGGCAGTGACAGAATGGCATTTGTCTCTTCTGCTCTGGAAACAAATACTCAGGAAGCAAGGTGGTTCCGTGCTTGATTTTCCATTTGGACAGGTGGTGTTTCTTTGAAACAGATGCTGTTTGTTGGCCGTCACTGCATGCTTGGGATTGGGTGGGGGGCTGGATTTTGTTTCCGAAGCCCTGAGGTTGTGGATAAAGACCTACGCAGCCAATGCCGGTCACTAGGGAAAGGGAATAGGTAAATCTACTAATTGTGATCTATTGGCCCTTCTGTTGCTAACTCAATGTATCTGCTGGTCTGAACTGA